GACGTCACCTGTCCTTCGACGCTTGCAGAAATACCAGGCAAGCGAAATGACAATTGCTGCCGCCACTGATCCACCAATGTAATACCACAAAGTGTTCAAACTTTGCACTTGCTTTGCTAATTGTGTAAGATAGATAAATGACCATTAGACAAATATCGACAGTAGTAAAAGTGCTAATAAAATTCAAGTTGTTCGGAATAGCTTTGGAATAGCCTGGCACATTATTTAACCCGTGATTGACACCTGCTCTTAAAAACGAAATACCTGAATTTCATGGAGCGATGAAAGGAAATTTCATGTAAATGGGTCAGGTGATCCATATTTGTTTCGTATTTGATTGAAAAATAGTTTTAATCTATTTGGAAATGTATTTTTTAATCGGTAAAGTTGTATTTTTTTTAAGAAACAACGGTAACACCAGCTTACCTTTGACGTCTATTTTTACAAAGGAACGGGCAACAAAACCGAGCTTGTTACGTGCCTCACAAGAATACACACCACTTTCCTCCTTCACAACTTCAGTTATAGCAAATGTACTCGTTTTGTCATCGAATCGTGTATCAATCTTTGCCCTTTCGGATGGTGAGTCTCCATTTTTTTTCCACGTTACATTTATTGTTTCTTCGTTGACGTTGCAGGTCAATGTGAGGTTGTCTCCTGTTGTGAGTGCTGGATACGGATCTGGAACAACTTGAGCAGCGGCTTTTCCTGCGTTAAGAAACAGGCAATTGATTAAAATCCTGCTCCACATTCGTCACCCCCATTTTCAGCATCAGTTCAGTGTCAGCGTCACATCATCGTCATCGTCATGGTTATCGTCGGCGTCATCGTCACGGTCAGCGTCATCGTCATTGTCATCGTTATCGTCATTTTCATTACACTTACCGTATACACGCAGTGTTGCAGAGGAAATAGTTGTATTTGCTTTGTTTTTCGCCTCACACTTGTAAGTCCCTTCCATCCCTTTTGTGACGCTTAAAAATTCCAGGAATGATTTTTCTTCGTGATTGAATTGATTGATACCAGATGGCAGGTCAGCATTATTAAAAACCCAGACTAATGTTGGTGTTGGCACACCTGAGGCTCGGCAACTAAAGTTCACAGAGTTTCCCTCGGTAACAGACTGGTTTATCGGAGGCTCTATAATCTGTGGAGATACTTGAATAAAAAAAAATCCAAAAACAATAAGGTTTGCATAGTTTATTTTAACCCCATTTATCCAAACTTTGATAAAACGACATAACAACAACAACAACATAATCAAAACAAAAAAAAAACAATGTTCAAGTTTATTTTTGACCAAGGTCAATATTTTCCATAGTTTGTCTTCGTGCTCAGCATAAAGAGATGCTGTTTAGACTTAAGTTGTCCCAGTTGTCCCAATAAGATTCATCATTTTCTTTTTGGTTGTTGAGTGTGTGTGATGTTAAAAACACATATGGTCATTGGCTATCAGTTTCGTTTTTTTAACGGTTTATATTGAATTCCAAAAGTTATTTGGCAATGATGATAAAAAAAGGAAAAGCATTTACATTCTGTAGTAAAAAAAAAAGGAAATGTGTCATTTGACGTATCCAGGTTGAGCGTTTTAACATGAGTTCAGGTATAAAAATGTCAGAGTGGACCACAGGATTTACAATTTTTTAACGGCGGGAGGTGTTTTTAATTATTTCTTTGGTCACGGATTTAGCTTTATTTACAATCTGGGTATCTGTAAATCAGAATCAACTGTACGTGACCAGAAACCCTTTTCTAGACAAAAGAGTACTAATGTTGGTAATTTGAAACAAGTTATATGAATGTTCCTTTGAAATCTTTTTCCAACTTCAGTGATATATATTTAGGTAATGATACATTCAAAGCCAAGTTGATGAACTACCTTTACCACATATGAAAATGTATCATAAGATCATGACTCCTTAGTTCCTTGGTCATTGATATTTTTAAAGGAAATGGATGAAAAGAGAGAAAAAAATGGGTCTATTTAAATTTGGCTTAAACTTCAAAAACAAACGCTTTGTTAAGTTACAAGTCTGATAAATGACATAAACTACAATATAGAGTTTACCTGTGACATCGATCCAGAAGGAAGAGTTTGCTTTGCCATAATCATTTTTAGCAGTGCATTTATAATTGCCTTTATCTTTAAACGTCGCTTTTCTAATAACCAACGTGTTGTTTTTACTAAGTAGCACTCCATCCTTGGTCCAGTTGACAGATACTTGTAGAGCACCTCTCAAATAACATTCTTTCGTAAATGTGGAGTTGAATGCAATGGTGACATTTCTAAACTCATCACTAACACGGGGTGGAACTGCAAAGCAAGCATATAAACATAAATTACAAATATGGCGATTGTAGATTAGAAGCCACCCAGCCCCCCTCCTTCCCTCTCACATGCAAAAAAAAAAAAAAGAAAAAAATGAAAAAATTGAAAGAAAAAAAAGAAGAAGGTTTTATCGCCTGCTTAATTAACTTTCTTATTCTTTTCTGGGACCAGGAAAATGAGAATCGTCCACATTTTTTAGTTTTTGCAGTAATGAAATTGAACATTTGTTTCAATCATGAACCATAACTCTTTCTCGTTTATACGAATGAGAACTGTACCTTTTATCACTTCAATCCAAAAAGTTGATTTCTTGCTTCCAATGGGGTTTGTAGCGTTACATGTGTATTCGCCAGAGTCTTCAAACCTCGCTTGATGAATCGTGAGAGTGTTCTTT